ATAAAAATCTCACCTAGGAAATTCATCATGTAGAAAACCATATTAGAAAAATGAATGACACACAAGCATATGTCAAAATTAAAGACTCCAAAGAAGTGTATGAACAAGTGCGTGATACATCCTCTGATTAGCCAGAATGAACAACTTTAATACCAAACTTATATTTACTGAATACAAACCTACTGTTTTTAACAGTAGTGCAAGCCAACGAAATAAGAAACTAATTAAGCAGCGCAATCACAAAGGAAGTTTAAAACAGATTATTCAAATTTTGAGGCTTCAGCCAATCAGTTTAAAACCATGATTAAAACCAAGCAAGTAGTTTTCAAACCATCTGACTAAAATGTCAGGTTTTCTGTTTATTGTCTCTGTGTGATATCACCATTTTCCTTCCAGAACACCACCTTAACCTCCAAACAACCACTTCCAGTACTACAAACCCAGGACAAAGATTTCATATGGGGAGAAAGCAGAACAATATACTTCCAAGCATACCAACCTCATTGTCACTGAAGTTTTAAAAGATACAATCGCAAAAGAAACAGGAACACATGTAAACTCAGCAATTTGTCCTAAAAATGAACAAACAAAAAATAATCCATAACAAGCTGGACTGAACTCAGAACCCTGGAAGCATGTTCCAGTCTGTTTATTATTCTCAAGCTCAGGAAAAACCTTCACATGGTCGATTGAGGGGTTTGCATTCAGCAATACCACTCACAGCTCTTAGGAGAGCTCTAAGACCAGTAACTCAATCCATGAGTTGTCTCATGATCTTATGGTTTCTTGTCACACCACAGATCTTAAACCCCTTAAAATGACAAAAATGGGTCCAAGAACAAAATATATATAACTCCAAGCCACTGCACTAACACAGTATCATTTCCTCATACATATGACTTGTGGTTGGGGTTGTTATAATAAAACACAGACTATGATCAAGGCTTCTTACAGATGCAGTATGACCTCATTCTCTTCCATATGCATTTTTCTAAGATTTAAAACAACCAAGCTCACACTGCAGTCTTTTGATACAAAGGATGTCTTTTCTAAAGTTAAAACCAAACAAAAAAACCAAACAAAAACCAAACAAAAACCAAAACAAATCACCAAAAACTTTTAGAAACAAATTTACAAGGGATTCATCTCCAATTAGTCCACAGCCTCTTCTCACAGTCACTAGACAGAAGGCTGTATTGTACAATACCGTGCACTTCATCCACATGAGATGCCACTTGAAGAGGAGATGAATCACCCCAGAACAGCCAGCTTCTGACTGTACAGAGAGTTCAGACTGAAGCTGCACAAATTAACCCACCCCAACCTGCAAATGGCCAATAATACAAAAATTACTGCAAGATGGACTGGGAGAAAAGGAGAAAAAATAGAGAAAAATAGGTAGTGAGACATTTAAAACTGTAACTCACTAGAAATCCATTTGCAAACTAACTACCATTTGCAATCCCATGTTATTGCTGTACAGCTTCCTATTTCCAGGCTACCCCACTCCAAGTAGAGGAAGTCCACTGCCTGGCTTGGTAGCTGGTCTGACAGACACCAGGAGCTCCCCAGCACAGAGCTGACTCACGGCACAGCAGCTCTGATGCCACACATCCATGACCATAAGGCAAAGTCCCTCTCAGTCATTACAAACATAAGACCCACACGTCACGTGAACCCTGCCTGAGGTTCACTCAGGCTGGCAACACCTGACTCAGTCAACACAGGTCTCCTCATGCTTACAGGCAGCACAGAAAACATTGCAACATCATAGAAACCTCTTTCTTGGAACTTAGGTATGCTGAGGCCCTGGCTAGAGCTATACCGTCCTTCCCAAGGGTTAGGTAGTGACCTACCCTACTACCAGGAAGATTTACTCACTGGGAACAGAGAGAGATCTCTGCAGGGTTTCTGCAGCAAGCAGGGACAGAGGGAAACCAGTGGGCTCTGACAGTTCCACATGTTCTGAAGTCTTTTTTGCCTGCTTGTTTCAAATGGACAACACCAGGTAACAAAGTTACAACATGTCCCAAGTGAATAGAAGCAAAGTTTGCTTACTCAATACTGTTTTATGCAACACAGAGAGCTACTTGCATCAGAGATTACCTGCAGTACTGTGAACTGAGCAGAGGATTTGAGGAGGGATTAACTTCATGGAGGATGGGGAAGAAGGAGACAAGTATGAACCAACCACCTATTAACTAACCATAGATGGTAAAATTAGTCATAGTGAAAAATCAAACTGTTGTCAGAGCTCCACTCACAACGCTTACAGAACTTCTCACAATATGGGGATTTAGAAACAGGACAGGAAGCAGCAGTCAGTTGAAAAACTGGAAGAGCCTTGCCCTTTCTGCCATTTCTCCTGTGCCTGTCCCCACATTTATAAAGAATTTTAATATTTACTTCTTGATACTCACTTTGAGTGGAAGTCTACTGAGCAAGGCAAGCAAGAAACTTTTTCCCTGTTCAGCACCTGCAGTTCAATCACGAGGGTGCAAATCCATATTGCTTCTTACCATAATATGAACTTACTATATACTCTGGACCTTCAGAGGCAGACTCCAGAGATTTAGCTCAATGTCCAACCTTCAGTGCTGTGGAGGTTAAAAGGTGCTCTAAAGAAGAAAACTCGTTTTTGCTGGTTCACATTTCATTTCTACCACTGACTTCATCTACGCAGCTCCTCCCAGTGTATCTCACATCTTTCTTGTTACATTTTTGTTTGCTTCCAACATTAAGAGTGCCAGTATTAAAAAAAAATAAGCCTTTAATTTGACTTTTCTTTCTTCTGTGACCTTTCCAGCCTAATCCCCGGTGCTTGAGAACCTACATTGCCATTCTGTATACAGGCACAACACAGCAGTATTAACTACACAAAACCAAGGTAGTTTCAAGTTACTGCTATGAGGTGATACAAAGTTCTAGTGTTCAACTAATGCTGGATGAACAGGGATATTCTATTAAACCAACTGCTTTCTCCCATTTCTGAAAACGTGAAGAAATTCAGCAGGAAACCTAACTTCTGCCCTGAAACAGACAGGACTATAGCTTTTCTGGATTTTTGCCTACATGACTCCTGTAAAAATTTTACTACCAGTGACATTCAAGAGCATCTTTAAAGAAGATTTAAAGCAGGTTTCATCTTTAAAGAAGGTTTCAGATCGCATAAGTAACCAATAGTTCAACCAAAGTCAATAATATGGTATGGATCAACATAATTTCTGCAGAGATACCAAATTAAAAAGAAATAAGAAAAATCTGTAGCATAAAGTATATATGAATTTTAAATAATTCAACGCCATATTGTTACTTGCCCTGTAGAGGTAGCCCAGAAACACGTTTTAAAATAAAAATTTAAATCTACACTGCTATTGCCATAGCTACCTGTACAAAATTCTAACATAAGGGATTATTTCTTTAAGACTGGGAGGTTGAGTAAACAGCATGAGGGAACAGTGAGTGTCCTCTCCAGACTCAGTTGGACAAGCTCCACTCTGTTGCACTTTTCTCTGCCAGAAGCTTTGGTAGAATACTGAGTGACTTACTATACCCTTGCTATCCTGGCTAATCTGAAAATAATCATCATGGAGAAAGAATAAAGACTGTGGAGCAGTGACAGCACAAAGGTTGCTCTGCAATGGCAGAGGCTCCACATAGTTTATAGGAGCAACGCAGTATTTACATTCCATGCTAAACAAGATGGGGAAAAAACAAAAAAAGTGCAGCCTGATGCTCCTGATGCAAACACCTCCACATCTTCATATGCAAGTTAGGCAGTCATTACAATCCAAGAGGTATTATATGAACAGTGTTATTCCATCACTTTCCACATATCCCTTATCATTACACTCACACCTCGCCAAGGGTCTTATCCAGTTCCCAGTGAGGACAGTGCATGTCCTGGAGTGCACCAGCAGCTGCTCTCAAATAAACTGCTAAGAATGCACTGGCAGTTACTCGCTCCTCTGAGCCATGCAAGTGCGAGCATGAGTTACAGGTAAATTAGTCCTGCTCCACAAAAGCTCATTAATGAAGTGGATTCAATCAGTACCACAGAAAACAAAAATCAAAGCAAGCAAAGCAGCACAAGCAGGGTTTCAAAAAAGCAGAATGACACTCAGATCACGAAACACTCAAATTATTATCAGTAATACTAGCAGCCCAATCAAACAGTATTTTGGGTTGATTTGGTTTCACTATTTTACATACCAGTTGAAGGTATCTGATCATCAGAGTTCTCATTCACCTAATTAGCTGGTGGACATGCTGAAAAGAGTAGAAAGCAGTAGATAGGTAGCAGTACTTGAGCAACATTTACAAAGGAACTGAAAGCAAATGAAGGAGAAGATTACTGATCTTTTTCTCCCCCCAAGTCAAAAACTGACTAGGGTCCTCCTCTCCCCAACTCAAAAAGGAAATGCAATTTCACTACCCATGGAGGTAGTTTTATTCAGAATCTCTCAAATAGTGCAATGTCTGCAGAGTTACAAGGGGACGGAGAGACTCCTGTTTGTACATAAGGTCTAATACTGTGTGACATGCATTGCAAAAATATACTACCTACTTTGAAAGCACATATTCTGTTAGTCCAAAGTTTAAAACTTGGAGGCATTGTCCTTACTTAATTCACATAAATCATTGAAATTTACAAATAAATGAACTCTTTGTAAGATAAAGTCCAGGCCCCAATTCTGCCAAATCCTTGATTTAGATTTTCCCAAAATGGACACACGGCTAAAGCATGTTGCTGACTTACAGCCAAGAGTTATCACAAAATTTCCAATTTCAAGCTTTCCTTTACAAGCCAGCCAAGTTTAAAAACCATGGACTAAAATTCCATAATGCCTTTAAGTTTAAACTACACAGACCATATCCAGTAGGATTTTCCATAGCATACATCTTTGCCCTAACTCTGTTCCAATCAAATCACTTGGAGAAATATCTTCAACTTCACCCTAAAACCAGCGTGTTTCAAGTACACATACATGGTCCCTTACCTTTAATAACAAAGGCTTCAGTTATCAAACGCAGCATGTACAGAGGTTCATCTTTGGTTGAGAGGTCATCAATGCCTGCTCTCGCATACATGCTGATGGCATCTCTGTAGCATCCCTCCACATAATGAAGCTTTCCTAGGATCAGCATAGCTTCAGTCATATACTTAGGCTGAAACAGAGCAGGGAGAGAAAGAATGTTTACGTGATAAAATAGCAGACAGCAAAAACGAGGTACCCCAGAACACATTAGCACATTCAGAATGTTTTCCTCTCACAACTGCTAGCTCCACACGCCAGAGTAGGAAGGATTTAAGTGTCTAGAGATCTTAGGGCTGTGCTCATGATAGCAGCAGGCAACAAAGGTCAGGCAACCACTTTGGAGCTTCATTTACAAACACACAGTTCCAAGCCACGTCTTTGGTTTCAGCTGACCTGATCTGTGGTTGGTGAATTGATGGACATCACATAAAAGGCTGGCATCGTCAGAACTACCTGCACACACACAAAGAAAGCCTCTTGCTTTTAAACTAAGCATAAAGCATGACCTTTTAGGCAAGTGCTCCCCTCTCCTCTGTATATTTAATTAGACAGTGAGAAAGCTCTCCAGTTTTCTTAAGCTGTCAAAGAATTTTCATGCAGCAGTAGAAAAAACAGAAGGCACATCCACTATTTCTAAGATTTGTTTCCTTGAAGGACTGAAAACACATCTAACAAAAACCTCAGTAAAATACACCTGTTCAGACCCTCTGGAAAGCATGAAAAGGTTCCTAAGCCTTCCTGCCCCTTTTTTAATACATGTAATCAACACAGGGGCAGTGCTGCATGAGCGGCTAAGTCACAGTTAACAAAGAAACAGTAATGGCAATTCATGCAGCCAAACTAAACACGAAGACCTGGAAGAATTCAGTAGTTCTGGTTGTCAATGAGGCTAAACTAGAAAGAGGGTTGGACAGACTCCCCTTCCTTACTAGCTCCATTTTATTTCTGAATAGGTTGACTTTCTAGAAGATAAGAAAAAGGAACTCCTCCAGAAAAGTGACTGCACACTTTCTCCTTGGAAATTAACATGTTAAAAATATAATATACATTTCCAGGCTAACTAGCCTGTCAATTTTGAACCAAAAGTAATACAAGTCTAGAACAGACCTGTAATTCATTTACTTCTAAACCCGGTTATGAAACTGTGTGTCCAAGGACAACAAAACAGCAGTAGACATTGAGGCACAGTATTAAAACACTCCTGAAGCTCTGCAATTGAGTTGACAAGCAGCCATCAATCATGAACCCAGACCACAAAATAAAACGAAACCATAACTTCTCTGGCAGAGACTGAAAGCAGCGCAAGGCTGCAATCCTGGACTCACAACACAACCCTAAATTCCTGACAGCAACTTGCAGCACATTCTTCTCTGATCTGGAGCTGAATAGGTATACACAGCTCCCTCAGATGAGGAGTAGCAGTAGGTCATGTTATGTGGCCACACCCCACATCCCAGAGAAACCCTAAATATTTATCCTGGTTCTTTCTAATGAAAAAAAAAAAAAAGAACAGGATATGTACTATTTGTTTGCATATGAAAAAGCAAGTCTCACAACAGAAGATACTGCCAAGGGGAATTAGCAGTCCCTCAGTAACGCCTACAGTACAGCACTGTACATACAGGGACATGAACAGGCAACAATCACACCCTGTATCAGACTAATAATCATATGAAAGAAACATCCAGTTGGCAGGAATTACGATGACAGAGCCCACTTACCCTTAGTTTTCCTCTGCTTAAGATACTGGTCAGATACTGTTTAGCTTCACTCAGTTTTGGTTCATTCTTCTCTGTCAGTGGAATGGAGTCCTTCAGTTTGGCAAAGTTTTCCTTCAAACATTCTTCCAGCAGAACCTCTGCTAGCAGCATACTCCCATGGTCCTCTGAAAGCACACACCAAACAACAAGAAACATTGCTTAGTTCTGTAGATGATAAACAGAATTACAAAAAAAACAACGCACCTTTGAGACACATAAAGGGCAACTCAAATGAGAGAAGAAGGAAAAAATGGCAGACATAAAAAAAAAGTTCCATTAACTTCTATCTATTGGAAACAGTATGTTGCCTAAGAAAAAATGAAACTTCACTTCCTTATAACTTGAAGATTTTTCCCTAAAGAATCCTTTCATTTTGGTAGCACCATTCATTCCTGCATTGCCACTAATACAACAGTTCAGAATTTTCAGCACAAAACTCACTTTCAAAAGTATAAGATCAATCTTGGCAAACACATCAGTGCATGCTTTAGATCTACAAATGTACAAGCATGAAATGAACGCTTTGGATGATACGGAAGCTGTGAATTTCACTGCAAAACAGTAACAAATTTACCTGAAAGTTCACAGAAAAAAGACAATTTAGATACTAAAGACACACAAGGCTTGATCCTCTGACACAACTAACGTGCCACATTCTTTCTACATTAAAATCCATTCCTGTTCACAATTCTACAGAAGAGAAACTCAAACACAAGCAGCAGCACTGGATACAGCGTGAAGCATCATGCAAAGTGGCAATCGTGCTGAAAAGAAAAAAAGTTTCATCTGTCAGAGTACTTTGATTTCTTGCATGACAGGCCCAGTTCTGCAGTTACCTTATTCATATAAGTCGCACCTCAATCAGTGGGCTACTGGGTCTAGCAGGGTAACAAAATCTTTGTATACCAAAGAGCCAAGCCCTACATTTCATATATACTCCACATTTCAAAGTCTGGAATTCTAGAACATGGGAAACATGACAGTGTACCTATTTCCATATTTTCAGGCCATGGGACAATTTATCCCCACTTTCCACCTATACACTACATACAGCATTAATAATCAACTCTGTGTGCGGGAGTGGTGGTGGTTTAGGTTTTTTTGTTGTTGTGGCCTAACTGTTAAGCTGCATATCAAATTATAATGATAGCTCTTCCTGCTCATTTGCAGGTCTGCAACTAACTCGCATAAACAATATACAGGTGTGTAAAATGGGAAGCATAAATGTTCAAGTATATTCCCCCCTAAACTTGCATGCAATAATTTCTACACACTAAAGACCTTTCAGGTAGTCTTTAATATCTTAAAACAAACTTAAGGACATAGGTAAGACTACGTACAATTAAGAAATAAATACACACAATCTCACGATGCAAACACTACTATTAAAAAAATCTAATCCAGGCAGACGATGGTTTCTAGAAGCACAAAACTGTACCCAGTCCCTTGCTGAAAGAAAAGTTCTGCAGCAATAACAAAGCATTACTCTTTCATAACCAGCAAGTTATGATGACATAGCAGCAAATTAACAAATCGTGTTTTTACAGCAATCATACTGTTGTTATGCCTCTTAATTACAAGGCAAGAAACTACTATGAACTCTTCAACTATTAATGCCCCCAAACTGCAGCGAGATCTCTGCACCTGGGAAGCGCTGCTGAAACGCGACTGAAGTTCAAAGGTTGGCCCTGTGGTTCTCAGCACAGGGTTCGACCTGCATCATGTACACACTTGGAAAGCCTCACAAATAAGCATGTATTAAGCTACCAACATCTCCCCCACCATGCTTCCCACCGTGAAGTTTAAGGAACCCTGGCAAGCTTCAATTAACTCTAGGGCCACATACCAGGAACACTCCTCTACAGAAGGGCTTTATTCATAGAGGTTGCTCCTGTGACTTCAGTGGTAGAACCCTTTGTACCAGTGCCACGGGTAGGACCAGGTCCTCTTTGCAACTTACCTGCTGACCACAAACATAGATTTTTACATTTCCAAGTTAGGCTGCCTCACTTATTGCAAGCGATTTCATTTTAAAAAAGAAGCAAAGTAGTGTGTTGTAACAGGGGAAAAAAAAAAAAGAATACATTTGCTATTTATGAAACCTGTTTTACATGTGAAAGGGTACTTGGACGAGCCCAAGCCTTTTAAATAAAGCAGGGCCCTTCAGAAATGGAGGGAGGTAACACAAGGGCATCCAGAACAGGGTTGGGCAGGGGGCAAGAGGGAACGAGCACGACACGTATGGAGAAGCTGCAGACGGACATTTCCCAACGGGGCAGGTTTTGGTGGGTGGCCCGGCCGGGCTGGTTGCATCAAGGGCCGGCTCGGA